GTTCAAATGAACAGAAACGTGACGGACTAAGATCAGATCTACAAGATCTTTTGGACAGGACATCTGAGTGAGACGAATTGACTTCTAAAGACAAACAGAAAGTCAGATCTTTGCTGATAGAAAATCAGGACTTATTGGCATCTTCTGATGTTAACCTGGAAAGGATCAATCTTGTAAAACATGAAATCAATACGGGAAACGCAAGGCTAATTAAAGAACCGCCTCGTCGAACACCTTATCATTTGAACAAGGTAATAAATGATAACCTTGACCAAATGTTACAAAAATGAATTATTGAACCCTCCCACAGTCCCTGGGCGGCAGGGATAGTCTTTACTTAGTAAAGAAAAAGGACGACAGTTATTGTTTTTGAGTCGATTATAGAGGTTTCATAAGTGTGACACTTAATAAAGATGCATATCCTCTACTGAGGGTTGACGATTCGTTAGACCATTGAGCGGGAAATAAATGGTACTTTGGACTGTTGTTCGGGATATTGGCAGGTAGAATTGGCTGAAAATGACAAGTACAAAACAGCTTTTGCAACATAGAGGGGTTTATTTCAATTTCGGGTCATGTCATTTGGGTTGTGTTGCGCTGCACAGACATTTGAGCGGTTGATGGAAACCATACTAGCTGGTTTGCAGTGGGAGACATGTCTGGTTTACATTGACGATATAATCGTTTTTGGAAAAACATTAGATGGGATGCTTGATAACCTACGACAAGTTTTTGACAGGCTTATATCGGCTGGGTTAAAGTTGAAGGCAAAGAAGTGCACCTTGTGTACCACCAAGGTTCGTTTCTAAGGACATATTGTCTCTGAGGAAGGAATTTCCACCGACCCCGACAAGATTAAAGTTGTGAAAGATTGGCCCACTCGTACAAATATAACTGAGGTTCGGTCCTTTTTGGGTCTTTGTGGTTACTATAGAAAGTTTATTAAAAACTTTGCCTATATTGCTAAATCATTACACAAAATAACAGAGAAAGAAACAAAGTTTGTTTGGACTTCAGAATGTCAAGAATTTTTTGACCAATTGAAAGGTAAATTAATCAACGCACCAGTGCTTAAATATCCAAATTTTAACAAGAATTTATTTTGGATACTGATGCAAGCAATTTGGCAATCGGAGCTGTCCTATATATCTCAGAAATCTCATGAAGGGCTGGAACATGTTGTGGCTTACGCTAGTCGTTCTCTTTCAAAATCAGAACGAAAGTACTGTGTGACATGCAAGGAAATGCTTGCTGTGGTTTTTTTTTAAAACATTTCAAACCATAGCTTTATTGCAGAAGGTTCACAGTAAGAACTGATCACGGATCATTAAAGTGGCTACTTAACTTTAAGAACCCGGAAAACAGATAGCTAGATGGATAGAGACACTATAGGTTCATTTGAGATGCAAATTCAACATCGACCAGGAATTCAACATAGGAATGCAGAGGCACTTAGTTGCATTCCTTGCAAACAATGCGGTTAGGCATGGATCATTTGACTTTCTGGGGAGGGGCCTGGGTTTTCATATCAAGCCAGATTTTTTTTTATCATGCAAACCCAGCAAGAATATTTTTTTTTTCAGTCAATCCAAAGCAAGAATATTTTCATCAAATACATCATACATGTCATACTTGCTGAAGATGAAGCCAGAATATTTTTTTACCAACTGAATAGGCCAGATTATTTTTAGTCCCCTACTGACGAAGTCAAAGGGGACTTTAGGTTTGCACTCTGTCCGTCTGTCCATCTGTCCGTCTGTCCATCCGTCAGTCCGGCAAATCAGCTTTCCACACTTTTTTTCTTCGTTCTTGAAGATATTGATTTGATATTGGGCATATAGTTTTATCATGACAAGTTATAGATCAAGTTCGAATTTTGTTCCGGTCTGATGATTTAGTCCAGAGTTATGGACCATAACTCTGGACCATATCTAATGTTAGAGTACTATGTTAAACCATATTTCTGTACAAAGGGAGATAACTCATTTTTTAAAAGACATTCTTTGTTAAATTATTTGAAGAATTTTTTGGCAGGTTTGTTTGTTATTTAGTATTAACTAATTTTCTGAATGCTAAAGATATAAAAAAAAATTATGAAGAGAAATCCTTTAATTAGATAATAATCTCTTTTTATTAATGTATACTTCAATACATTACATTGTGTAGATAAAAGTTGTTGACATTTTATAGATAAGTTACAAATCTATATTAGTTTGTGACAAATGAAAGAAAAAATATTTGGAACTATTAATTATATTTGATTATAATTTGAAAATAGATATACACTGTATTACATCATATCTAATTTTAGAGAACTATTAATCATATCTAATATTTTTTTCACTCATATTCAGTTTTCCACACTGTTTTTAGTCATTCTTGAAGATATTGACATGATATTTACTTTTTGTTTACACCATGACAAGTTATAGTACAAGTTAGCATTTTGTTCCAGTAAAATGAATATTAACCGGTAGGGGACTATGTATTGCCATGCAATACTCTCAGAATGCTTGTTTTTTGTCAAAATAGAGGCCAGATTATTTTTTTTCAAAAAAACTCAGGCCTCGCCCCCCAGAAAGTCAAATGGTCCATGCTTTATCATTCCGGTTTAGAAAAAGAGACTGATTCGGCGGAGAATGAAGACCATTGAACATGATACTGGTAATGCTATCACCCATTTTGGTGGCAGTGATGACGAAGATGATGACAGTGGTAATCATGATTTTTCTTTAAATGAAATTTAGAAAAATTATCATGACCTGAAAATAGTGACTGAATGGGTAGACAAAGATGAACGTCCTGATTCCAAAGATATTTCCGATAAGGGAGTTTTCTTGAGATCTCTTTGGTGTCAATGGAACAACTTATAGTTAAGAGACAGATTTTTTTATGGACAGTTTTAAGACCCTGAAACCAAAATTGTTAAAATGCAGGCCCTTATCAGAACGCAGGAAGGTTTTACAATTTTCACATGATGAGAAATGTTCTGCTCATTTGGGTATCCATTAAACTTGGTCAAATATTAGACAATCTTATTATCGGCCTAGGTTACAAAACGATATGTCAGTACTTATATAAACGGATGTGACAAATGTGCAAAAGAGCTCCAATGACTTTAGTAGAAGCTAATGGGCCAATGGAAAGGATAGCCACAGATATCCTTGGAGAGTTGCCCGAAACAGATGGTGGCAACAGATATATATTGGTAGTTTCTGACTACTATGCAAAGTGGACGGAATCTTTTGAATACATCCCTTTTGTCATGATGGCATATAGGGCATCAGAACATGAGACGACTGGACAAACGCCAAATAGTCTCATGTTAGGTAGAGAAACTCCTTTAGATATTATGTATGAAATGCCACCATCCAGAAAAGACATCCCTACACATAAGTGGGTTTGGGAGCTCAAGAAGTTAGAAAACTCCCACAGTTTTGTCAGAGGTATAATCAAAGGGCAGATGCAGAGACAGAAACACTATCACGACCTCAAATTATCATACCAAAATTTCAGAAAAGATGAAGAGGTGCACGTATATTTCCCGGCGAAGAAACCTGGGATGTCTTCAAAACTGACTAATTTCTGGAAAGGTCCTTTCAAAATCCTCGACAAATATTGTGACCTTACTTATAAAGTTGACTGTGGACAAAGAGGGAAACCACAAGTTGTACATGTCGACAGACTTAAGAAAAAGAACAAACAGACATAAAGGACAGAACCGATTAATAGCACTTTTAGTTTCTTGGACACTGAATACAATAGTGTTGAAAACGACCCAGTAGAGACTCCTTATTTGCAAGACATTGCTATTAACAGAGACAATTTTGCCTAATGATGATACACAGGAACATATTCATGATGGCAGATTATGTTGTTGAAAAGATTTTGTACACTTAACTGAATTAAAGTTTTTATATAGTACTTCAATGTTTTATCCATTGTAAAGTTAGTTTTAGTCATGCGGGACGCATGTCTTTTGAGGCGTGAGTTATGTGATGATTTAATTACTGTAAACCAACTTATTTTGGCGGATAGTTTATTTCACGATTAGCCCTTTCTAGCCCATTTCGCGGTGACTTAATTTCGCGATTCTCAAATTTACTTGATGTAATTAAATATGGAAAAAGTTTTACATATTCATGACGATTTATATTCTCGTTATTTTTCTACTCCCGAAAGTCGCGAAAATAAAACGCTCGCGAAAATTAGTTGGTTTACAGTATTTGTATCTTATGTTAGATAGTTTACCTTAGTTACAGCTCAGTAGAAGCCTTATTATATGTATTTGTATATACTTTAATAAAACATAGAAAAGAATAAGATATTTGGTGGGGAAAACCTTGGGTCAGGTCAAATGTGAAGGGTGTTCTAAAGGAAGCTTTAATACGATTATTGAGGCACTTTGGAAGAACACCCTTCCGCATAGAATGGTAAGGCTACCATTGTGGTATATAAGCAGGAGCGATTCCTTGCTCATTGTCATTGTCATAAGTCTACGAAGACGAAATCCTGAAATTACAATATGTTGATATTCGAGATCGTTGTCATTTATATATTAGATACTATTACATTAAGTGTTATAAAGAACAGATTGGTGCCTGTTAGAAACACGAACTCGTACAAGTTGGAGCTTTACAGGTTGTACCATATTGGGCAAGTGTGTTGACTTGTAGGATACATTATTGTACCAAAAGGATTGCAAGTTTTACTTTCTATGAGAGGCTGTTCTCTCTGTTTATTAGAGTTTCCTCCACCAATAAACACTGCTGTGGTAAGTGTGCTGAAAATGGGGTTCAACATTAACAATTTATCAATTAATTCAAACTTATGGCCCTTTTACAAACTCAAGTACCTTCTAATTGAAACTCTTCTTAGAGGATTTATTGTATGAACATCAAAGTGTCTACCTTAATGAGACAGAAAAATTGTTTTGTTCAAAACTATTTGTTATTATTTTGTTATGGAGGGGAATGTGAATTTTTTTTTTTTTATTTCAGAGGAGGATTTTACGTTCAGAATTAAGTTGATGTTAGAGAAAGTAGCAAAGCCTGTAGTGAAAAGTATTTTTGATGATGAATTTTCTCCTAAAGTACTACAAGCAGAACTAAAGAAGAGATCTCTAAAAATCAATGATTTGAAAACAGATAAACATATTAACCTTGATGATTTTGATTTATTATATCCTAAAACAGGTACAGCAATACTGCATAACATAATTCTAGGACTATATGTCCCACAAAATTTAAAATAAATCCCAAAAGTCCCCAAACACTGTTACCAGGATTCAGTTTTCATCTGATTTTTTTGAAGTTTTTAAGCTTTTTTGAGCTATTTCAAAATTTGCAGAAACTGGTTGAAATAGATTTAGATTTTATTATAAAAACATGAAAATAACTTCTGAATGTATTGTTATAAATTGGTCTAACCAATTTTAACAGTGTGGAAAGAAAGTTTCATATATAATTCAAGTAATGAATATTTGCATTAACCTTACATTGTGGAGACATTAATTTTACAGTCTCTACACAAAATGTCATTTTTTGGCTGCAATGGCTCTCCATCCTTTAAGAGATCAACTATTTGATATGTTTTTTTTTTTCAAAAATGTATGCATGTTCCCACAATTTAAGGCTGGAACTATTTTTTCTAGAGGCCAGGGTTTTCGTTTTGTATCTGGGCCATGAGTACAAGGGCTTAAAACTTCCAAAAACAGTATATTCTAGCAGGCATATAACTACTAATGGCATTTATTATTTAATATGCTTAACAAACGACTACTTCTGGTTTCAGATTCAGGTGAAGCTAAAAATACAGGAAAATCAAGATTTTTGGTTGAAATTACCTTCTTTAGACTTGCCATACCCAGATCACTTTCACTCAGACCTGAGCACTTTTGTGGGTCAATGTGTTTACTGGGGTCCACTCTATATGCAGACTACAGTGAGACACATCTATCAGCAACCCTGGGTCTTCCCTTTCAAGAAACATGTAAAAGAATCTTCAAAATTGATGCTTTTTTCACCAGATCACAAATTTTGGGGCAACATATGTGCCTGCTTAAAGTAAAAAAACAACTTTAAATGTTGGCATCAATTTATCATAAGCTACAAATTCAGGCTTGATAATATTTCAAACAAATAACTTAACATCCAGTAGCAAATATTTTATGCACAATCGGGACAATCCAACATGAAGGATTTTTAATCCCCTACCGACGAAGTCGAAGGGGACTTTATTTTGCACTCCGTCCGTCTGTCTGTCCGTCCGTCTGTCTGTCTGTCCATCTGTCAGTCCGGCAAATCAGTTTTCAAAACTTTTTTTCTTCGTGCTTGAAGATATTGATTTGACATTTGGTTTATTGATTTATCATGACAAGTTACAGGTCAAGTTCAATTTTCACGATTTCATCTTTTCTCTTTGTTCAGTTAAAGCCCTTTCCCTAGAATTAAATTTTTGATGAAATACTTATTAATTAGTAGATTTCTGTTCAAAGGGAAATAACTCATTTTTATACGACCCCAACAAAATTTTGCGGTCGTATATTGGTATGACGTTGGGGTCGTCGTTGTCGTCATCCGAAGACACATTGGTTTTCGCACTCTAACTTTAAGTGAATGGATCTCTATGAAATTTTACCATAAGGTTCAATACCACAAAAGGAAGGTGGGGATTGATTTTGGGGGTTATGGTACCAACAGTTAAGGAATTAAGGGCCAAAAAGGGGCCAAAAATAAGCATTGTAACTTCCAGACATAACTTGTGTGTTAGTGTATGGATCTCCCTGACATTGTACCACAAGGTTCCATATCACAAAGGGAATGCTGGGATTGATTTTTGTTGAAAAAGCGAGACATAGCAATCCTACATTCCGTCAGCGTTGGCGTCGGCGGCGGCCGCGTCCACAAATATTCACTCTGTGGTTAAAGTTTTTGAAATTTTAATAACTTTCTTAAACTATCCTGGTTTTCTACCAAACTTGGAAAGAAGCTTGTTTATGATCATAAGATAGTATCCAGAAGTAAATTTTGTAAAAAGTTTTTTGTGTGTAAGTGTATGGATCTCTCTGACATTGTACCACAAGGTTCCATATCACAAAGGGAATGCTGGGATTAATTTTGGGGGGTAATTGCGTCCAAATTTTAGGAATTAGGGGCCAAAAAAAGGGGCAAAAAACAAGCATTTTTCTAGTTTCATGACAATAACTTGTTTGTAAGTGTATGGATCTTTATGAAATTGTACTACAAGGTTCCATATCACAAAGGGAAAGTTGGAATTGAGTTTGGGGGTAATTGCCCGAAACGTTTAGGAATAAGGGGCCAAAAAGGGACCAAAAATAAGCATTTTTTTCTAGTTTCCAGACAATAACTTGTGTGTTCAAGTGTATGGATCTCTCTGAAATTGTACTGCAAGGTACCATACCACAAAGGGAAGGCTGGGATTGATTTTGGGGGTAATTGCCTCAAAATTTTAGGAATTAGGGGCCATAAAGGGGCAAAAAAACAAGCATTTTTCTAGTTTCAGGACAATAACTTGTGTGTAAGTGTATGGATCTTTATGAAATTGTACTGCAAGGTTCCATATCACAAAGGGAAAGCTGGGTTTGAGTTTGGGGGTAATTGCCTTAAACGTTTAGGAATTTGGGGCCAAAAAGGGGCCAAAAAAAAAGCATTTTCTAGTTTCCAGACAATAACTTGTGTTCAAGTGTATGGATCTCTCTGAAGTTGTACTGCAAGGTACCATACCACAAAGGGAAGGGTGGGATTGAGTTTGGGGGTGATGAATCATAAGGGGGTTCAAAATATTTGGGGGGGGGGATTTTTGTTTTGTTTTTTTCTTTAAAATTTTCCATTTTAAATTGGTTATTTCTGATTTATATATAAAAGCAAATAATAATGATATGGTTTGAATAGGTAAATTAAAATTTTTTAAGTTCTTAGACCACGTTCATTCTGTGTCAGAAACCTATGCTGTGTCAAATATTTAATTACAATCCAAATTCAGTGCTGTATCAAGCTTGAATGTTGTGTCCATACTTGCCCCAACTGTTCAGGGTTTGACCTCTGTGGTAGTATCAAGCTGCGCCCCAGCAGAGCATTTTATTTTAAAATATTTTTAAAACTCAAAATTTTGGATTTTTTTCCTTTTCTTTGGTAAAGTGTTTGAAGAATTTAGTGGTAGGTTTGTTTGTCATTCTTGAAGATATTGATTTGAATAGTATATAGTTTTATCATGAAAAGTTACAGATCAAGTTGGAATTTTGTTCCAGTCTGATAATTTTGTGCAGAGTTATGGTCTTTGGACATAGAAAATTCACTTAAATAGTCAGTTTTCAACAGTTTTTTAACATCATGCTCGAAGATTTTGACTTGATATTTTTATGTAGTTTACACCATGACAAGTTATAGATCAAGTTAGAATTTCTTTCCATTACAATGAATTTGTAACCGGTAAGGGACTATGTATTGCCATGCAATACTCACAGAATGCTTGTTTTCATCAAAATTTACAATAGCACCATATTGAAAGTGTGCACCTGCTATTATGGAATTGTTTGAGAAATTAAGAAAAATAACTCCAGACTTAGGAACTTATATAATAAATAGTAATTTTTCAGCAAACCTTCAAAAGAATTGATATCAATTTTGTGTAATCAAATCCTCCTGACAGTCTTCAACCTAGATATATTTTTTTACAGTAAATAAACAACTCAAAATTATAATATACATTAGTTTTTGTTTGTTATGTTCAGACATTAAGGTACAAAATTACAAAAAACAAATTAACCATAGTTCATGAATTTGTTAATACTATATATAAGTTATTTGTATATTTCAGTTAAATACAAAATCAAGTTGATACATCATGATCTTGAATATACCAGTGATTTAACAGATAAAAGTACTACAGCTTTTAAAGAAAAAGCCCAAAAAATTGAACAAGATGTAGCTGATTTGTATACATCTGTAAAGGGACAGCAGGAAGTAAAAGTATTAGAATTTGGGTGAGAATTTTTTAATCACATTTACAAAAGCATTATGAAAACTTACACGGTTCTCATAAATACTGTTTATATGAGTGGCGTCCGATAGAAATCAACCTTATGCAAATAAATATCAATACATCTATTAACCTATTTTGGGTTTACAAAACAAAAATAAGTATATTTTGTTTTTAACTGGATTTTCGAAGGAAATATCAGTTATTGATTTTGGGGTGTACGGCGGGCGGACGGGTGGACGGGCGGCTGCCAAACAGTGTCTCTTCAACACTGTGATGATTTTTTTTCAAATTTAGATATGTTGTTTCTTGTGACTAAATGAAGGTCAAGTTCAATTTTCACGATTTTAGTATTTCTCCTTTTTGAGTTATCGCCAGTTTTAATATCCAAAAGTGGTATTTTTAAATATTTTTCTCTTGTTATCATATTATGACTAAGCATAGTAAATGTCTTATCTCAAAATAAAAATTGAAGTGACAGATTTATTTGAAAATATTCTGTTTCCTGATAAGATCTGTAGGACTGTATATATAAAGTTTGAAATTTACTAGTAGGAAAGTATAAATGAAGTTTGAAATTTACTGTTCATTATTAGACATTTTGTAGATAATTAAGTTTCCCGAAACCATATTTATTCTTACCCCCAGGGTTTCCACTGTCGGTCGCCATTTTCGCATTTTGCGAAAAAATAGAATTGTGGCGATTAAAATTCATAATTTGCGAAAGAATTTGGCGAAAGAAATATATATAACATTTTGATTTCATCCATCTTGTTTTTTGTTTTTTTTCGGATTTCTCTGACTTTACCTGATCAGGCAATACTGGGAATTCACCTTGAACTCGTTAAGATTTTGACAGAAAATTAATAATCAGCTGATTGCATTTTATAGCTGAAGGCAACAATGGACTTATTAATAGAGATGTTGATTGAATTGTTTGACGAAATGATGTGGTTAAATGGAGTCCGTCACCTGTCACATAAAGGATTTATTAACTAATTTGCGACGCACATGTTTGAGCATAGTTTTACGTCCCCTCTTCTACTTTTAAGATGGTCCTGAAAGGAAAACTTGTTATGACGAAAAATGTTCAAAAGGAAGAACAATCTCCGACTTAGAAATTTATCCTTTAACTTTGATAAAAATAATTGATTTGGAGAGGGTACTTTAAAATCGTTTTGGCGACGCACGTGTTTCAAGCATAGTTTTACGTCTCGACTTTTTCATCTACGATGGTCCGGAAAAGAAAACTGTCGTCATGAAGAAATAAATACAAAATTAAGAAAAATCTTTGCCTTTAGTCTATATCCTTCAACTATAAGGGAAATATATATTTGATAAACTTATTGAAGATGTTCCTATAAGTCAAAATGATGATATCACCATCTATATTGCAATTTTTACAGTATCTGTAAAGTAAATGTTTAGAGTTCATTCATTACAATGTAAATTAAAAGATAAGATTAAGAGAATAATCAGAGATAATAATGGGGCGAACTCATTTTTTTTGTTAGACAGAAGGAAAATTTTTAAACTATATTCATGTTACTTGGCGAAAAAATATTGAAAGTGGCGAAAAATATATTGTTTTGGCGAAAGAGGTGGCGAAAAAATCAATTAACCCAGGGGAAACCCTGCTTACCCCCACCCCCTTCAATTTGAGAATGTGCTTTTATCTTGTAAATGGTCTAGATCCCAACCCCTAAACCATATATATTCTTGTATGGGACAATAAAACAAATCAAATGAAATATTAGGGGAGTCCCTGGGTTCACCACCCACCCCTTCTTTTTGAAAACTTGTAAACAGTCAAGATCCCCACCCTGAAACCATATATATTCTTGTATGGGACAATAAAACAAATCAAATGAAATAAAAGGTGAGTCCCCTGGGGTCACCCCAATCCCCTCCTGTTTGAGAACTTGTAAACAGTCGAAATCCCCACCCCTAAACCATATATATTCTTGTATGGGACAATAAAAGAATTCAAATGAAATAAAAGGTGAGTCTCCTGGGGTCACCCCCACCCCTCCTGTTTGAGAACTTGTAAACGGTTGAGATCCTCACCCCTAAACCATATATATTCTTGTATGGGACAATAAAACAAATCAAATGAAATATAGGGGAAGTCCATGGGGGTAACCCCCACCCCCCTTCTTTCTGAAAACTTGTAAATGGTCGAGATCCCCACCCCAAAACCATATATATTCTTGTATGGGACAATAAAACAAATGAAATGAAATTTAGGGGAAGTCCCCTGGGGGTAACCCCCACCCCCTTCTTTTTGATAACTTGTAAACGGTCAAAATCCCCACCCTGAATCCATATATATTCTTGTATGGGACAATAAAACAAATCAAATGAAATAAAAGGCGAGTCCCCTGGGGTCACTCCTACCCCCCTCCTGTTTAAGAACTTGTAAATGGTCGAGATCTCCACCCCTAAACAACCATATATATTCCTGTTCGTCATTTCAAGAAGATTTGAATGACATAGGTGTCACTTATGCATATCACAAACCAATTTGTACTGGACTTTGTCCAATGTCAGGCGACCATGGGAATGACGAATTATTGGAGCTTTGTTTGGGAGACTTCGTAACAGCATCCTGTTACAATTATTTCTTGTTACTGATAAGTTTAATAGATTTTGAAAAGACATTGTATTAATGATAAATAAAATTTTGGATTTTTACTTCTTTTCTTTGGTAAATTGTTTGAAGAATTTTGTGGCAAGTTTGTTTGTTATTCTGTAAAAACTAATTTTCTGAATGCTATATATTTTTTTTTTGATGAAGTGAACTCCTTTTAAAAACTAAGCTTATATTGTCTATTTTAAATAAACATATATTTAGATTTCTGATTTTGGGCCCAGTTTTCAAGTTGGTCCAAATCGGGGTCCAAAATTAAACTGTGTTTGATTTCAGCATAAATTGAATATATATAGGTTTCTTTGAAATACTTAATCTAAACCTGTATTTCTTTTCATTATTAATAAGTTAATACCACATTGAGGTCAAAAGGGTCCTAAATTAACTTTTGTTTAATTTCATCAAAAAGTGAATTCTTTGGTTCATTGATATGATGATTCTTACAATGTTTGAATGTTATTAGTTCTTCTTCGCTCTCACCCCATATGGAATTTACTGACCCCGTATATATCGTATTAGGTCACTAACACACTATGTAACGAATTTATCTTACCGACTATCTTTATTTGTTGAATTTAGACTAGAGTAGTCTCATTTGCAATCATATCACATCTTCTTATTTTTAAATTAAAGTGTTCAAGTCTACAATTTTAAGAATCTACTTTCATTGGTCTTTAACAAAAAAATTAATGTCAACAATAACAATTTAATATCAATAACCTTGATATAACAATATTAATTAAAACAAGATGTTCAATACATTTAAAGGACAAATAGTGCCAAAGTCAAGATCCAACACATTTTTTTTGTGTACAAAATTGAAAAATAAATGATAATGTCAACATGACAAATGTCATATTTTCATCACAACTACTTGTTGATGGTCAGGTTATGTATAACAGTTACATTGCCATAGAAGATTTGACTCTGAGGTTTTGTCGACTGCATACATGTGGTTGTTTGCCTGTATTGGATGGGTTTCGGCCTGTTGTCATCAAAGTCTCCTAAAATATCCCCAATGTCAATATCCTGTATTTGTTCCATAAATGACTCACTATTGGAACTATGGCATGTATGGTTGGAAGCAAGAGCTGCTCTTTGCACAAGATTGTCAGATATAGTTTTACCCATTTTTATTTTCTCGTCAGTATCAACACGCTGGTAAGTTGTGAGTAACTGTACGGACTTATGTCCAGTGACTGCCATTATTTGCGCAGATCCATACATGTTTTGTGATAAAACTGTTGCTCCAGTTGCTCGTATTGAGTGATTGGTATAAACAACAGACAACTTACACTTCTTACTGAGTTCTGACATGAATGTACTTAGTTTTTTTTCTCCCAGTGGCATATTACAATACCAAACATCAGCTTCTGTAGAAAAAACTATCCAATGGTTTCTGCCATAAACGATCATTTGATGGATGTAATTTACGAATATAGTTCTCGTATGAGGCAACAGGACAATACACAGGTCCTGAAATATAGAGAAATCATTTAAGTTTATTAAGGTTTAACATCAAGAACAAAGACGTAGATACTATGTATTTCTTGTATTTACATTGATATATATCATACCTATAAAAGGTCCCAAAATGACACATATAAATTTATTCAAATGAGAAATACATGTATAATATACAGCAATAAACGACAAACTATGAATAACAGGCTCCTGACTCACTCTATAATTAGATAATCATATTGGTACCTTTGATAACTATTGGTTACTACTTGTTGTTTTTAGTTTTATATTTTCAGAAATATCATTGCTTAATAATTATTAATGTCCGTGTGGCGATGTTGTATATTTGATATGAAGTTAGTAAGCGTCCTATATTTTTAATACACAATTAGTACGGTGTAACGTTCTATTATCTTTTTCGTCCTTTTGATTGTCTAATGATACCCCCTCCCCCCCTTTTTTTATTATTATACACTCACCTGGTGATTCTGGCATTACTCCAGAGACAAGCTCCTTATCTGATTCTCTATGATTCTTTGTTAGCTCATCTCTTGCCTTAGTTACATATTTAAGTCATGTTTTATTGTCAGTTTTAATTGTGAACGTAGATTTTGTCATAGTCTGCATATTTTCTATACCTCTTCTGCAAAAATAAAGTCTGACATCAAATTGAACTTTATTTGCCAGGCCAGTTGGTGTTGTAGGTGAAAGATACATGGATGTATACAGTGTTTGACGATCCACTTCATTAATAATGGGAAAATGTTCAATGTCACCTAGTCCAAAACGTTTCAATACTGCCAACACGGCTTTAAAGTTTGCGTTACTGTCATTAAATGTAGAATCCTTCACAATATCGAATGTTTTACTGTGCAGAGGAGCCTTAAGGTATCTGTTAATGCCATGCCTGATGGACTCCAGTGACGATGCTTTGTATCGCTCACCATCCGCTTTACCTAGATCGACATAAAAATGACCCAAAGTCTCATTCAGCCGCACACAATCAAATTTTTCAAAGTCATAATCTTGTTCTTTCTCCTGCAGATATTCCCGGAGTATATTTGCACACTTTCTATTTGCTTTCAGGGTATTATTGGCATTCACATTTAATCTTTTGGCATCAATTTCTTGATTTGTTGTGCTTGCAAATTGTTTTGAACCTCTCGTCCACGCCATGTTTACTATATAAAGGGACGTAACTCCACTACTAACCATGTATTGAAATAAGCCCCGCCTCCCTACTAACCTAATATGAAATATACACGGTCTCCACGCGGACGCTTTTAACCAATCATATTCCTAGAAATGTATAGGAGGTAAGATAATAAATCATATCTAATTTTAGAGAACTTAGTCATCACTGGTTGTTGTTATTATATTATTGATTATAATTTGAAAAATTGCATCATATCTTATTTTAGAGAACTATTTATCCAGTTTGAGTTATTTCCCTTTGCACAGAAAATATTATGGATAAAATTAACCTGTGTTTCATTTCAACATAAATTAAATATATATAGGGTTCTTTCAAGTGCTGAATCTAAACCTGTATTTAAATATTAGATTTTTGGGCCCAGTTTTCAAGTTGGTTCAAATCAGGGTCCAAAATTAAACTTTGTTTGATTCAACAAAAAATGAATTTATGGGGTTCTCTGAAATCCTGAATCTAACCATGTATTGAGAGATTTTGGATTGTGGGCTCCTTTATCAAATTGGTCCACATTGAGGTCCAAAGGGTCCTAAATTAAACTTTTGTTTGATTTCATCAAAAATTGAATTCTTGGGGTTCTTTGATATGCTGATTCTAATATGTACTTAGATTTTGGATATTGGACCATAATAGGTAAATGTCCAATTTCAAATATTTCAGTTCTTTGACCACTTCATTTTGTGTCACAAACCTATGCTGTGTCAAATATTCAATCACAATCCAAATTCAGAGCTGTTTTAAGCTTAAATGTAGTGTCCATACTTGCTCAACTGTTTAAAAGGGTTCGACCTCTGCAGGAAAATCAGCCTCTTGTTGTCTATTCATTTGCAAAAAACAATTTTGGGCAATGTCATAATGTTTCTGAAATTAGCCAACATTGCTAATTTTGAACAGGAAAAATAATCAACAAAAAAGATCTATCAAAAAAAAAAACATAGTTAAAAATGAAAGCATTCAGCCTCCTTGGAACCTCTAGTAATTTAATAATTATGACATTCTTTACAGCTCAGTTTTATTGCTTTAGGGTAAATCTGATGAAATAACATTATATAAGCCATGAAGAGTTCATCAGATTGCTGCTTTCAATTTATATGGAAGGTGTCAATGTATCTTTTTACTTAAAATTTGACTTTTATTTTTTTCAGACCTGTATTTATGCTCATAACCTTTGAGATAACTACTGAAGAAAGTGATCAATATGACTTAAAATCCACACTCTCTTCTGCTATAGAAGCAAAAATTATTCCACCTTTTACAGTATGTGAGTTAAAGAACTTTGAAGCTATTGATGAAAGTAAGTATATTTATATATATATTTGGGATGTCAACTCGGTGAAGATTTACTAATCAAGTACTCGTTGGATTTACCGAGCGATATTCGAGGAATCGCTCGGAAAAACATCTACAAAAATGGAAACACAAATTTATACCCATTTTACGTATTTTGGGATGTTGTCTAATGGACGTAAAACCCTCGTTACCTAGGACTAGATAATAGTCCCAGGAATTTTATACCATAATCAATAGCTCATTTACCACATGTACTAATCATGTAAACTGGCAATAATCTAATCAATTAATAAATAAACATCTATAGAAAAGTGATTACTCAAACAATAGTATTTGGGAATTGTAAAAAACACATTTAATGATCAATTAGAACTTACTGATGCCTTTAACCAGTTTCTGAGGGTCAACACAGGGTGCAATCTCGGATTTGTTCTTATTTAGAAAATAATCTTGTCAACTTTTTCTGTGACGAGTCGATTTCTCAACTTTGTTACGTAACTAACAGTCCTGCTGATGAAAATATTTGCCCTGAAGGTATGGAGGTGGAATTACTAAGACATGATTAGCTAAAAGAGTAAGCCTTGGAAAGGTGCTCTTGTTCATAGCCTACCTATGTTTGGAGGAATTTTAAATGACAATTAAACATGTTAAACGCGAACATTTGAAACGTATTTTATTTTTGATTAATATTTAATTTCCCGGGAGGCACTCTTAATAAAAATATCAATTCTTTAAGAGTGCAACAACATTCTAACAGGAAACCGATTAGTCGAGTAACATTTTGGTATTCCATACTTAGTTCTACCGAGCAATACTCGAGTACTCAAGTACTCGTTGACATCCCTAATATATATATATATAATGTCAACATTCAATCTATTTAAGCGTGGATCAGCTCGTGAAAATAAACTGATACAGTTACTAAATTAAAATTATATAAATGTCTAAGAATATAACTGACTGTCTGGTTCAGTTGCTGGAACTAGTGCTCGAAAACAACAATTTTGTATTCAACAACCAGCACTACTTGCAGATTGACGGTACCAGTATGGGAACCAAAATAGCACCTTCTTTTGCCAACATTTTCATTGGGAATCTTGAAGAACGCATACTTTCGAGTGTGCCATACAAACCCTTTCCATGGCTCCGTTATATTGATGACATCAACATTAAATGGAACGAAACTGCAGAACATCTAAATGATTTTTGTCGAGCCTGCGACTTTTGTCGCAGAAAGCTCGACATAGGGATAGCGATCCGGCGGCGGCGGCGGCGGCAGCGTTAGCTAACTTCTTAAAAGCTTTATATTTTAGAAGGTGGAAGGTCTGGAGGCTTCATACTTTGTATATGGATGCCTCATGTTACGAAGTTTCCGTCAGTCACATGTCCAATGTCCTTGACCTCATTTTCATGGTTCAGTGACTACTTGAAAAAAAAGTTAAGATTTTTTGTAATGTTAGATTCTCTCTTATTATAAGTAATAAGATAACTATATTTGGTATGTGCGTACCTTGCAAGGTCCTCATGCCCGTCAGACAGTTTTCACTTGACCTCGACCTCATTTCATGGATCAGTGAACAAGGTTAAGTTTTGGTGGTCAAGTCCATATCTCAGATACTATAAGCAATAGGTCTAGTATATTCGGTGTATGGAAGGACTGTAAGGTGTACATGTCCAACTGGCAGGTGTCATCTGACCTTGACCTCATTTTCATGGTTCAGTGGTCAAAGTTTTTGTGTTTTGGTCTGTTTTTCTTATACTGTATGCCATAGGTCTACTATATTTGGTGTATGGAATGATTGTAAGGTGTACATGTCTAGCGGGCAGGTGTCATTTGACCTTGACCTCATTTTCATGGTTCAGTGGTCAAAGTTAAGTTTTTGAGTTTTGGTCTTTTTTTCTAATACTATGTGCAATAGTTCAACTATATTTGGTATGTGCGTACCTTGCAAGGTCCTCATGCCCGTCAGACAGTTTTCACTTGACCTCGACCTCATTTCATGGATCAATGAACAAGGTTAAGTTTTGGTGGTCAAGTCCATATCTCAGATACTATAAGCAATAGGTCTAGTATATTCGGTGTATGGAAGGACTGTAAGGTGTACATGTCCAACTGGCAGGTGTCATCTGACCTTGACCTCATTTTCATGGTTCAGTGGTTATAGTTAAGTTTTTGTGTTTTGGTCTGTTTTTCTTATACTGTATGCCATAGGTCTACTATATTTGGTGTATGGAATGATTGTAAGGTGTACATGTCTAGCGGGCAGGTGTCATTTGACCTTGACCTCATTTTCATGGTTCAGTGGTCAAAGTTAAGTTTTTGAGTTTTGGTCTTTTTTTCTAATACTATGTGCAATAGTTCAACTATATTTGGTATGTGCGTACCTTGCAAGGTCCTCATGCCCGTCAGACAGTTTTCACTTGACCTCAACCTCATTTCATGGATCAATGAACAAGGTTAAGTTTTGGTGGTCAAGTCCATATCTCAGATACTATAAGCAATAGGTCTAGTATATTTGGTGTATGGAAGGACTGTAAGGTGTACATGTCCAACTGGTACGTGTCATCTGACCTTGACCTCATTTTCATGGTTCAGTGGTTATAGTTAAGTTTTTGTGTTTTGGTCTGTTTTTCTTATACTGTATGCCATAGGTCTACTATATTTGGTGTATGGAATGATTGTAAGGTGTACATGTCTAGCGGGCAGGTGTCATCTGACCTTGACCTTATTTTCATGGTTCAGTGGTCAAAGTTAAGTTTTTGAGTTTTGGTCTTTTTTTCTAATACTATGTGCAATAGTTCAACTATATTTGGTATGTGCGTACCTTGCAGGGTCCTCATGCCCGTCAGACAGTTTTCACTTGACCTCGACCTCATTTCATGGATCAATGAACAAGGTTAAGTTTTGGTGGTCAAGTCCATATCTCAGATACTATAAGCAATAGGCCTAGTATATTTGGTGTATGGAAATATTTTATGATCTATTTGGCAGTCACGCAGGTTTTATTTGACCTTGACCTCATTTTCAAGGTTCATTGCTCAGTGTTAAGTTTTTGTGTTTTGGTCTGTTTTTCTTAAACTATAAGCAATAGGTCAACTCTATTTGTTGTATGGAAGAATTGTTAGCTGTACATGCCTGCCTAGCATGGTTCATCTGACCTTGACCTCATTTTCATGGTTCATTGGTCAATGTTTAGTTTACTTGGTTAATGTTAAGTTTATGTGACAGTTGTAATAAAGCTTTATATTTAGGACTATCAACATAATATCAATGATTAGTAAAGAAGGCGAGACATTTCAGCGTGTGCACTCTTGTCTTGATCTTTGTTATAACATTCATCAATCTATCAAGTTTACATCTGAAGTTTCAAATGAGAAAATTGTGTTTCTCGACATCACCATAACTTTACAAAATGGAGTCATGACAACCGACCTTCACACAAACACCAATTTCTCTTTCCGAAGAGTTGTTACCCAAAACACTGTTCCCGAAGCATTCCGTACAGCCAAGCTATCAGGTTAAAGCGGATTTGCTCATCAGAATCAAAATTATACCACCGTTTGGGACAACTCAGACAGCAACTTAAATCAAGAGGTAATAAGGACAAAAACACTTTCTGTAAAGCAAAAAAAAAGACCGAACAAACCTACTTGAATACAAAGAAAAGACAGCCCAAACAAATAAAATTCTGTTTGTTGTCAGCTTTCATCCTGACCTGACAAATCTTTCATCTATTGTCCACAAACACTGGCGTCTTATTGAAAATGATCCTTCCTTAAAAGAGATTTTTCCCAACACCTCCTGTCATGGCTAACCGCAGAGTCGCAGACCCAAAAACCTCAAAGATATTCTAGTTACATCGAAAATATCTAAACAAGAGACATCGAAAATAGGAGGATATAAACCATGCGGAAGAGGCAACTGTAAGTGCTGCAAAGTTATGAAAGTCACCAACATTGAAACCCAATTCATCAACACAGTCACAAAAAATAAATACAACATATTTATAACATCCAATTGCAAAACGCAAAATTGTATTTATGTTCTAATGTGTGCATGGAATTTGCAAGGTGCAATATATTGGTGAAACAGAAACACCATTCAACATCCGACTGAATAACCATTGGTCATTTTATACAAAAGAAAGAAACTGCCCTTTCACATGACATCTTTTAAGAGAAGAGCATGATTTTGAAAACGTCACATTTCAAATCATTGAGAAAAACCAAAATTGAGACACGCAAGGGAGACAAAAGAGAGAGAGATTTTGGATTCACCAGTTACGGACTCTTGAACCTGATGGACTCCATGAAAGAGACGAGAAAAAATTTAAAATCAAATCAAAACAATAATCTTGAAATCTGTACAATTATACAACATCAATAAATATTTTAAACTTTTATTCCAACTGCGTGTAGTTAAAGCTACAAAAATATTTTTATGCCCCCGCCGAAGTGGAGGGCATTAAGTTTTACCTTTGTCCGTCTGTCCGTACGTCCGAAAATTGGTTTCTGTTCTCTATTACTCTAACTTAAGTTTGCCTCAACCAAATGTTATCAAACTTATACACAATGCTTATTACCACAAAACACAGATCAAGTTTGAATTTTGGTGGCATCACTTTTACCGTTCAAGAGTTATGCCCCTTTACAAATGGAAAAATTACTGAATTTTTCATTTCTGTTCTCTAACTTTAGTTTGCCTCAACCAAATGTTATGAAACTTATCCACAATGTTTGTTACCACAAAACACAGATCAAGTTTGAATTTTGGTGGTGTCACTTTTTACCGTTCTAGAGTTATGCCCCTTAACAAATAGAAAAATGGCTAAATTTTTCATTTTTTTTTCTAAAAATATCAATAATGTCATTATTCAAGTAATTTTTATACAACCGCAAAAAAATTTTTGCGGTCATATATTGGTATCACATCGTCAGCGTCAGCGTCGTCCTAAGACATTTGGTTTCTGGACAATAACTTTAGCAAATGTAAATAGAAATCTA